GTAGCTATTTTCTAAATTCTTTGGCACACCTGACCTGAGTAAACGTCTCTAGTGATACATCAGTTTGCTGAAATATTTCAATCAGAATTTCATCAATTCCTGAAGCTTTTTTTTTTTTTTTTGTCAATTCTTCAGTGCCACTTGGATTCTTCCTGCAACATGTTACCTTTTGAAATGGCTGAACACCGACTAGTTCTTTTTGGTACAGTGATTGTGTATTCCATCTTCTTTCATTGCTTTCTGTGACAGTCAATTATTTTGCCCATTGTTCTTATGTGCTGCGGAGTCGGTTCTGTAGTTTCCAAGAGCAGTTAATTGATTTGAACTGTTGACCTTACAATGAGCAGTCCAGTGTTTATTCTACAGTGACATACCCAGGTTTATTTTGCCCATAGAAATCCTTTAATATTAAAACCGGAGTCTTGAATTTTTTTCCTTTAGTTCTTCTCACCTGAGAAATGCTGAGTGAGTTCATCACTCCAGATTTTTTCACATTTAATTATACATTAGTTTTTCTTCACAAGTTGGCCTTTGAAATTTTCTGTTCAATTCTTTTACTTCAACATTTCTTCTAGTTGACCTATGTTCTCTACATGCCACCAGTGAGTTTCAGATCCTCTTCTGTTGTCTAGTGTTGTCATTTCTTTCCTTCTTAATGACCGTTTGTTCTCATGTTAGGATGTTCTTGATGTAGTTTGATAATTGCTCTGGTCTTCAGTTACTAGTCCCAATGGATTCCATGTTAAGTGATATAAATGCAAGGTCATGATGCAGCTCTCATGCAGCTTCAGCCTGAGTATGTGCATTTACATGTTACCAACCAATGGCCTCTTCTACAGTAGGCACTTGGTCATGTTTTGGCTGATGATATTGAGCTGGATTATATGTAGAAGAAAATGGCATCAAGATTGGAGGAAAACTCATTAACAACCTGCGATATGCAGATGATACAATGTTACTTGCTGTAAGTGAAGAAAGCTCGAAATACTTACTGATGAAGATCAGACTACAGCGTTTAGAATGGAATCCACCAAAACTCTGGACTAAAAAATAACATCATGATAAATGGAGAAAAGATTATCAAGGACTTAATTTTATTTGGATCCACAATCAATATTCATGGAAGCAGCAGTCAAGAAATCAAAGGATATATTATTGCATTAGAGAAATTTGCTGTAAAAGACATCTTTAAAGTGGTGAAAAGCGTAAGTGTCACTTTGAGGACTAGGGTGTGCCTGACTCAAGCCATGGTATTTTCAAATTGTTTGCCTGTGACAGCTGGACAATGAATAAGGAAGACTGAAGAAGAATCAACACATTTGAATTACAGTGTTAGAGAATAATAATGAATGTACCACCATGGACTGCCAGAACTAACAAATCTGTTTAGGAAGTACAGCCAATTGCTCCTTGGAAGCAATGATCACAAGAGTTTGTCTCTCATACATTGAACATGTTAGGAAGAGTCACTGTAGAAGGACGTCAAGCTTGGCAAAGTCAGACGTCTTTAAGATGGACTGACAGTGGCAGCAACAGTGGGTTCACACATAACAACTGTGAGGATGGTGCAGACCGGACAGGATTTTGTTCTACTGGGCATAGGCTTACTATGAGTAGGAATTGACTCGATGGTCTCTAACTACAACAACAAACAATTCCCTGATACTGGATGGCAAGCATGTAGTATTTTATTATTCCAATGGAAAGCTTGGTCACAACTGTTTCCTTGAATCTAGCATCATTAAAACCAGTGGTTTTAACTGAGGGATTCGTATTTACCTAGTTTTTCATTACCAATGAAATACATAAAAGACTTAACCTCAGTATATGTCATATATCCTAGTATCTGGTATTGTGTCTCAAGGTTAATATCAGGTCTCTGAAAATAAGGCTAGCCATTATATTTAATATTCTCCAAAGGTTTTTAGGTTTGACTTTATTTGGCTTTGCATTAGATTTTGTTCTCCCCACCAGGTTTTATTATTAATCATGGATCTATGAGGTTTTGTCATTTATAGATGTTTTTACTTTGCTGACATACTAAAATCTTTTTCTAATTTTTAAACATTTTATTGAGGAGCAATAGTTAACAGATCAGTTTTACATTTAACAAATCACAGACATCAGTCATTAAGATAGATGATTCCAATACCCTCCATGTATCATCAGTTAACAATATTTATCTCTTCCCTCTAACTCTTGCATTCTTTCATGTCTTCCCCACTTTCACCTTTACTCTGCCAACCTCCTTCTTGTTTTATATTGCCTGCATCGTCACCCACGTTACCAGGTATCTAACCTCTACCCCTAGTGGATAAATTTCCCTTCCCTTCTACCCCTGGTAACTATCATAGAATGTTTGTTTCTTTTTTTTGAAGGAATCTTTTTTTTTTTAACTTTTGATTGTGAATTGAATGAAGGTTTACAGACAAGATAATCAGTTTTATATTCAACAAATAATACTTTTTATTTCATCTCAGTGATTGCAATCCCTACCTCACAACGGCAATTAACTCGATTTCTTCCTGTGGTTCCTATTTCCACTCTGCCCACCTTCCAATCCCTTCTCAACTTTGTGCTTAGCTACATATTGTCCTTTTAATAGGTTTTTCTAATGAACTTTTTTTTTTTAATGCAAACCCATGTTTACTGCAGCATTATTCATGATAGCAAAAAGATGGAGACAGCAGAAATGCCCACCAGCAGAAGAATGGTTACAAAAACTTTGGTCCATACACACAATGGAATGAGTGAGTTCATCACTCCAGATTTTTTCACATTTAATTATACATTAGTTTTTCTTGCAACATTGAAGAATAAAGAAAAATCTGAAAAATACCTCAAAACATGGATGAACCTGGAGGATCTTCTACTAAGTGAAATTAGTCGATCACAAAAGCACAAATATTACATGAGATCACTGTTGTAAAAAGTTAAGAAAAGATTTTTTGTTAAATGAAACATTCTATGATTGTTACAGGGAGGTTGATGGGTGGTGGGGAGGGAAAAAAATAAAATCAACAGAGGTAAACACTGTTAACTCATGGTACATAGAAAGTATTGCAATCATTGCAATGACACAAAGTGTATCATTTGTTGAATGTTTTCTTTTGAACTTTTTATTGTGAATTGAGTAATGGTTTATAGATAAGCTCATCAACTTTACATTCAACAAATCATACATTTTGCTTCCCTACATTTGCAATTGCCTTCATGCACATTGCTCTTTTGATTTTGAATGATTGACCATTCCATCATTTACAGTTAGCACACCTTCCTAGTGTTACTGTTCCTCCTATATGCCTATCTACTGCTTGGCTGAGAGTTGGGCCATCAGGAAGAGTGGCCAAGGACCATAATCTCAGGTGCCTCCAATCTCTTTCTGACCTTAGCTCAGTCACTTTTTAAAAAAAATAATTTCAAAGTTTTTTCAAGAAAACCTTAACTGTTTATAACAGTGGTGTTATACCACATTTGCCATTTTCTAATTGACTAATTTTATTCTTGACCAAAATAGTTCTATATCAAATTTATGAGAAAACAACATAAAACACCTAATATTGGGTACATTCATAATTTTAATTGAATCAAGACTTCCAAACTCATATATAGAAACGAACAAAATTTTCAGTGGCCTATTGACCTAGACTGCATACAAAGTTGACTACGTAAAATCTTGAGCCAGGGGCTACTGAGCCACATTCAGTCATGGCATCTCCATATGATGGTCACCCACTTGCCTGACATGGAGGTGACAACCGGCTGTACTCCCAAGAACCCTGCCTTCAAGGACCTCTGAGGATGCAGCCCTGGCCACATAGGAGAACAGGGACAAGGAAGGAAGGAGATGAAATGAGTCAGGTCAGGACTTAAGATTACATAGGAGAGGGCCCAACTGATACCTTCACCCTCCTCAAGAGTACAGGTGGTCAGGAGACCTCTCCTTAACCTTCTTGAAGATGAGGCTTAACTAGTGATTTATGCTGACTGCATTTTGTCCCTTTAAAAATGTGTAGGAGTCCCGGTATGATGTCTTAGGATAACCAGAGACTAGGACCACACACCTACCATTTGTTCCTGGGAAACCTTCTACACTGGAAGTTGGAACCTGCTCACTGATACTTAACAAGCCAGACACAAGAAGACAGTGCCACTCAGACACCCTCCCCAAACAGCCCTAGTTCCTGCATGTGTCTCTGGTTACTCCCTTTTGACTTGTCGAACATACAGTGCTCACCCCCAATTTCCATCTCTGGGGTTTGCAAGAAGGAGTTATCCCACTTTTAGTGCATGCTGCCATCTGATAGGCGGCTGTATTTCTCTGTGAATCTGAAGAAATTGGTTCTTCTCACCATCCCCTCTATCAGAGACCTCTCAGGACATATTCGTCCAACTAAGGAGTCCTAGTGTGGTGCTGCAGGATAAAACACTGGACTGCAAGGTCAGCGGTTCAAATTCACCAGCTGCTCCTTAGAAACCCTATACAAGGTCACTATGAGTCAGAACTGACTCGACAACACTTGACAATTATTTCAAAATACTTTTACTAACTAAAAAAAAATTTCATTTCATTCAATATTCCTTTCAATATAGAAAACACGTGGTTTCAACCAAAACCTCAAAACAGAAACATTTTGGTCTTGAAAATGTTAACAGAGATATAATTTATTGCTAAAGCACTTCACATTCCCTCTTCACACAAAACAGCAGCTATTCTCTGACAAATACTCAAGTGTGTGTTCCACTTGCTGAGTTTCTTGTGCATTCACCCTACACACATAGAGATTCCAGCCTGTGTCCCTCTGATGCAGGAAAAGAGATTTACCATGAAAGCCTCGGTCACATTCATAGCAAACATAAGGCTTCTCATCTGAGCGTGTCTTCTGATGTCTGCTGACTTTTGGCTAAAGCCCTGGTCACTCTCACCGCAGACATCACGCTTCTCCTGAGTGAGCCCACTGAGATCTAACGAGACTTTTCTTATACATTAAGGCTCGCCATCACCCTTCGCACACATGAGGCTTCTCCCTTGAGTGTCTCCGCTGGTGAATATTGAGGTCAGACTTTGAAACAAAGCCCCGCCCACACTCCTGACACACATGTGGCTTCTCCCCTGAGTGTATCCTCTGGTGAACATTGAGGAGACACTTCCAAACAAAGCCTCGTCCACACTCCTTGCAAACATGCGGTTTCTCTCCTGAGTGTTTCTTCTGGTGCCCAAGTAGGTTGGGTTTATATTTAAAGCCTCGGCCACACTCTTTACACACAAATGGCTTCTCCCCTAAGTGTGTCCTCTGCAGGCGAAGGACATCAGATTCATGGACAAAGCCTTGCTCACCATCCTTGCACATATATAACTTCTTCCCTGAGTGTGTCCATTGGTGATTGACAAGACTTGATTTTCGGGAAAAACCTTGACCACATTCCCGGCACAAATGTAGCTTTCCCCCTGAGTGTGTCTTTTGGCGAAAGAACACGCTTGAAACCTCAGCAAACCCTCGTCTACACTCACTGGAAACATCCGGCTTTCCCCCTGAGTGTGTTCTCTGGTGGTAGAGGAAGCCCGATTTCCATTTAAAGCCCCGTCCACACTCCTTGCACACATGTGGCTTCTCCCCTGAGTGTGTCTTCTGATGGCAGAGCAAGCGTGACATGTGAGCAAATCCTCGGCCACACTCACGGCAAACGTATGGCTTCTCCCCAGAGTGTGTCCTCTGGTGGTAACGCAAGCTTGATTTCCATTTAAAGCCTCGCCCACAGTCCTTGCACACATGAGGCTTCTCCCCTGAGTGTGTCTTCTGGTGACAGAGCAAGCCTGACATCTGAGCAAATCCTCGGCCACACTCACTGCACACATGTGGCTTCTCCCCGGAGTGTATCCTCTGGTGGCGGAGGAAGGCTGATTTCCATTTAAAGCCTCGGCCACACTCTCCACACACATGTGGTTTCTCCCCTGAGTGTGTCTTCTGGTGACAGAGCAAGTCTGCCATTTGTGCAAACCCTCGGCCACACTCACTGCACACATGTGGCTTCTCCCCTGAGTGTATCATCTGGTGGCGGAGGATACCTGATTTCCATTTGAAGCCCCGCCCACACTCCTGGCACATATATGGACTCACGTCTGAGTGTGTCCTCTGGTGCTGAAGCAGGATTGATTTCCGGTTAAAGCCTCGGCCACACTCACTGCACACGTGTGGCTTCTCCCCTGAGTGTGTCTTCTGGTGGCAAAGCAAGCCTGACAGCTGAGCAAACCCTCGGCCACACTCACTGCACACATGTGACTTCTCCCCAGAGTGTGTCCTCTGGTGGCGGCGGAAGGATGATTTCCATTTAAAGCCTCGCCCACACTCCTGGCACACGTATGGACTCACGCCTGAGTGTGTCGTCCGGTGCTGGAGCAGAACCGATTTTTGGTTAAACCCTCGGCCATACTCACTGCCAACAAAGGGATGTCCCCAGAGGAGGGAGCTCTGGTTTGTGACGGAGTTTGACTTCAGGCCACAGTCTGATCCCTCCTCAGACCCGACTGCTCCAAATCTTGAAGTCTCTACTTCCTTCAGCGCTTTATCTGTTTCCACAGTCGTCACCTTGTGGGCCAAGTTGGGCTTTACTCTTACACGTGTGTGGCCCTCTCTGGGCCAGGCTGACTCTCTTTGGGGTGGGTTGGAGAATACCCTTGATGTTTCACACTCCACTGTGCTCCCACACAAGGGACTGGCAAAGTCTCTCTCCTGACTGGAGAAACAGTGATAGGTTTCTGGCTTTGGTTCTGCTGAAGAGAGAGAGAATTCTATTAGAGCAGCCTGAGTGGGGTGCTTGGGCTGTCTGCTTTCTCTCATGACAGACAGCACCTCATTTCTGGAGAACTGGGAGATGCAAATACTTTACTGCTCAGCCACAAGATAAAAGATTGGATGTTCATAAGACAGGCCCTTAGATACATATACCCCTTTTGATTGTGAATGGTTGACCGTTCCATGGTCAGCGTAGCTCACGAGGGTTGTTGTCGCCGTTACACACCTATCTACTGCTTGACTGTGTTGTACCCTGAGCCCATGGGCCCAGAACCACGTTTCCCCCAGGTGTTTGGTAATGTCTAAGAGTTATCATAACTTTGTCCCCATATGCTCCAACACGATATTCCTGTGGTGCTATAGGACAAACACTGGACTGCTCACTGCAGTTGGCGGTTCAAACCCACCAGCTGCTCTTTGAAAACTGTATGCATGGTAGCTATGAGTCAGAACCGACACGATGTCACTTAATAACAACAATGCTCCACCACATTTATAGATGTTATTTCCAGCAAAGGTAAAAATTGCCCATCAAACCATAACATATTTACGGATATATTTCCACTCTTGCCCCTATCTGTATAACACCGTTGTAACAAAAAATGTAACAATATTTTCTTCCATTCCTGTTAACCTGTCTTCCTCATTCTTCGGTCAACCTCCCTCATGGTGCATACTACCTTCTCTGTCATACAAGTTAACATGTGTCTACCCTCTAGTCTGTGAATTACTCTCCCTTCTCCCACTCTTGTGGCATGGAAACCTTTTCTTGAGTTATTACAATAGTGCTCTCATACAATATCTGTCCTTTTGGGATTAACTCATTTCACTCAACAATAGCAGAGTAGTTACGAATCCGGCTACTAATCTCAAGGTCATCAGTTCGAAACTACCAGCTGTTCCACGGGAGAAAGATGAGGTTTTCTGCTCCCGTAAAGATTTATAGCCTTGGAAACCCTATACAGGGTCACTATGAATCGGAACCAACTCCATGGCCTGTAACAACAATGTACTCCAAGTTCATCCCTGTTCTGAGGTGGTTCACACATTCATGATTCTTTTCCAGTGTTGTATAGTACTCCAATGTGTGAATGTACCAAAGATTGTTCATCAGTGATTCTGTTGATGGGCATTTACGCTGTCTCTTTGGTATTCTGAATAGGTGCTGCAGTAAACATGGGTTTGCATTATCTACTTGGGTCATGGATGTTATTTACTGAGGACAAAAGCCAAGTAGTATTGCAGGTTTGTGCGGTTTAGCTATTTACAGCTCTTTCCACAGTGTTTGCATTAGTTTACAGTCCCATCAACAGTGTAGAAGCTTCCCCAGCCTCTCTGGACCTTGGCCACAATTTCCTATTTTTTTAAACTTTGCTATTAATGCCGGGGGTGAGATGATTATCTCATTGTTGTTGTGATTTACATATCTCTAATGGAGTCCTAGGAGTCCTGGAGTGGCTCTGTGGGTTAATGCGCCAGACTGCGAAGCCATTTGAACTGCAAGGTCTGTAGTTCAAGCCCACCAGCTGCTCCTTGGAAACCCTATACAGGGTCTCTATGGATCGGAATCAACACGTGGCACTTTAACAACAACAATAGAGTCCTGGTGTGGCACTGTGGGTTAATGCGCTGGACTGCAAGTTCATTTGAACCACAAACCACAAGGTCAATGGTTCAAGCTCATCAGCCACTCTTTGGAAACCTTGAACAGGGTTGCTATGAGTCAGAACCGATTGGACAGCACTTAACACGGAATCCTGGATTCTTGGTGTGGTGCTGTAGGATAAGCACTGGACTGTTAACTGCAAGGTCGGTGGTTCAAACTCACCAACCACTCTTTGGAAACCCTATACAGTGTCACTATGAGTCAGAGCAGACTCAACAGCACTTAACAACAACAGCAGCTAATCACCATGACATATCCGTTGGCACCTGGGATGTGTTCTTTGGTAAAGTGTTTCTTTACGTTCTCTTTCATTTTTTAATTGGATTATTTGTCTTTTTCCAGGAGAAGTGTGGAATTTATCTATGTATTATAAAGATCAGACTTTTGTCTGATATGTCATTGCCAAAATTTCTTTCCCAGTCTGTGGATTCAATTTTCACTCTTTTAGTGAAATCTTTTAACGCCCATGAAGTGTCAAATTTCAGGAGGTTCGGTCTCCTAGTTTGTTTTCTTTTCGCTATGCTTTCACTCCTGTTTCATGATGTATTCATGGCATGTATCGGAGCCACTGAGTTTGTCCCTACTTTGTCACTGATGATCTTCATAGTTCTCTGGCTTACATAGGTCTTTAACGCATCTTTGGTTCGTTTTTGTATATAATGAGAGATATGGGTCTTATTTCATTTTTCTACATATGGATTTACAGTTTTGGCAGCACCGTTTGATGAAGAGACTATCTCTTCCCCACTTAATGTGTTTCAACTTTTGTCAAAGATCAGCTGACCTAATGTGGATGGATTACTTCCGGGTTCTCACTTCTGTTCCACTGATTTATGTGTCTTTTGTTGTAAAGTACCAGAACCAGGTTGTTTTGACTACTCTGGTTGTACAACAGATTTTGAGATGAGGAAGTGAGAAGTCTCCTACTTTGTTCCTTTGCATTGCTACCTGCAATATGTAATAGTTACTATTTCCCTCAACCTTGAAAATCTTTAAAAATATTGCCAATATAATAGATGAAAATGGAATAGACCTAAGTGTAACTTAGCCAAAGCTGTATCAAAAAACACCCAGAAGAGCTTCACCAAAGAATCCTTCTCCACCACAACAATAATCCTGCTTACTCTCGTATCAAATAACAGGAGCTCTGTGAGAGTTTCGATGGAAGATCTTCAGGCAACCGTATTACAGTCCTGATTTGGCTCCTTCTAACAGCTTGTTTCCTAATGGGAAAAAATCTTGATAGGGTACCTGTCGGGGACCGGTCCCCATACCCATTTTTCTTCCGTTATTAACAGATTGTATTGACATGGTTACATTCTCAGGACCCTCAGTTTCTTATAGATGGACCAAATAAAGAGCTAGTATCATCACTTACAAGACTTTTGAATTTGATGGATCTTATGTACAGAAATAAAGAATATACTTTTTGTTTTCATCAAACTCTTTATTCCCCCTTATTTTTCATTTAGTTCTTTAATACATCTTGAGTTCATTTTATATATGCAGTGGGATAAGGAACCTCCCTGATTCATTCTTCTGCACATGGATATCCAGTTTGGTCAGCACCATTTGTCAGAGGATCTCTTCCCTTCATGAGTCTGTTTGGTGCCTTTTCAAAGATCAGCTGTCTACATATGTATGGGTTTACCTCTGGGTTTTCAATTCTGTTCATTGATCAATGTGTCTGACACGTTACCATCACCTGACGACTTTCTCTTTGTATGTAAGATTCACCGTATGTTGTCTATCTCTTTATAAGGTAAGCCCAGTTCTGACAGGGCTTTATAAGTAGTACATTTTCTAACATACTTTCAGTGTCTAGAGTATTATCTGAGTCCTGGTGTGGGGCTGTGGGTTAACGCACCAGACTGCAAAGCCTTTTGACCTGCAAGGTTTGTAGGTCAAGCCCACCAGCTGCTCCTAGGAAATCCTATACAGGGTCGTTATGGGTTGGAACCGACTCGATGGCACTTAACAACCACAGAGTATTATTGGGTCCATACGAATAACAAAACAAAACAAACCCACTGACACATATTTGAATCCATGTCATGGTCAACCCATGGAACCCATGTGTTCGAGAATAAAATTGCTCTATAGGGTTTACAGAGTCCTGGTATGGTGCTGTGGGTTAATGCACCAGACTGTAAAGCCATTTAAACTGCAAGGTCGGCAGCTGAAGTTCACCAGCTGCTCTTTGGAAACCCTATGCAGGGTTGCTATGGGTTAGAATCAACTCAATGGCACTTAACAACAACAACAACATAGGGTTTACATTTTGTTTTGTAATTTGTTACATTTTATTTGGTCCATAGAGTTTTACTGGTTGGAATGTTTCTGGAAGCTGAGAACCAGGCTTTCCTTCTGTGGTGCTATGGACTGATCAGAACCACTAAGCTACAGGTTAAAAGTTGAGCTCAAATTTCTGCACCACTCAAGAACCTTTACAAAAATGGTGTGACTGAGTCTTTTGTGACTCCTGCTAACCCTGAAAGACAGAGCAGAACTCCCACGGAGGGAATCCAAGGCTATAAATCAGGAGTCACATGGCCACATTCATCTCCTGCAGACTGTTGGGTTCATAGTGCCAACCTTTCTCTTAGCAGCCAAAAGGTCTTAACGACTATGTCTACAGGGCTGTTGGGGCACATAGCAAGTGGCCAGTAAATAGCTGCTGAATTCATGAACTAAAAGAAGACAGCACATCCTTACCCAATGAGAGAAGATTCTGGTAGATCTCCAGCATTACTTCTTTGTACAGGTTCTTCTGCTCAAAGCTCAGCGTCTTCCATTCTGCCTCCGTGAAGACCATGGTGACATCCTCAAGTGTAACTGGTTCCTAGAACAAGCAATAAGCCAATATATAGCAAGTCAGCATCACTTTTCCCAATGTGAAGAGTGCCCTGGTGATCCTGAAGCGCCTGCAACATAAAAAGATGATCTAATTTTTTTTTCAGAAAGCATGGTTCTCCACAACAAGTTCTTCTGGATTCCGCTAGGTACCCAGCTGTACAGGAAAATCTGTGGGGAGCATCTACGATGCACAAAACACACTCTGACCCTCAAACATGTGTGACTTCAGTGAAGAAATCTGAAAGCAGTAAGCAGAATTCAAGAAAGTGACTTTGAGAATTCATAATGGAGGAATCCAATATGGGAGCACATAGGAAGGGACAGAAGAGAACACAAGCATCCTGGATGGGGTCTGGTGTTGAGTATCAAGAGACAGTGAAGACTGCAAGGAGATCACGGAGGGAAACTTCCACTGGAAGAAAAGTGACAGCGGACACATGTCACTAAACAAAGAATTTCTGAGGAGTCAGCGAACTACTAACTGTGGCCTTTTAAATGATTTTAGTGACTTTTTGTAATAAAGTCCTTAATACTTCACTCAACCTGGAGGGTATTATTACCCCATCTGTCCAAAACATTTGTCAAGAAGAGTATAATCTTCCAGTAAAAGGGCATCTATAGACAGTAGCTGCACTGTGGGTCATGTCATCCAGGGCAGAAACCCCTCCTCGCCTCCCACCTATGTGGAGCACTCCGTCTCTTCCCCACACTCTCAAAACTGAGTTACTGGCTGTTACCAAAAAGGCCTGGTGTGGCACTGCTGGATACACACTGGCCATAAGGTTGGTTTGAACTGTAAGGTCAGAAGTTCGAACTCACCAGTCACTCCTGGGAAGCCCGGTACAGGGTGGCTATAACTCAGAACTGACTCCATGGCACTTCACAACAACAATAACAACCAACAAGGCCAAGTTCCTAGCTTCTTATGTACTCTCCAGAGTCCACTCTCCCCACAGCTCCCTCCCTCTCCTATTTATTATGATTGAGGCCTGCCTGTCCAACCAATGGTAGCTACTGTGTACCACCTGCACACATCCATGGGGGATGAGAGGTTATGGCTTATAACACAGTGGACAATGAGTGACACAAATCCTAAAAATGTCACTGCTAAATATAACTGCAATCTTCTTAAACAATAAATATTGTAACCTGTTACCATGAACTCAATTCTGACTCAAGATGAGGCTTTCTACTCCCGTAAAGATTTACACCCTCGGAAACCCTGTACAGGGTCGCTATGGGTCGGAACCAACTCGACGGCACTTAACAACAGCAAAATATGACAGAGTAGAATCGCCCCATAGAGTTTCCAAAACGAAATCTTTCTGAAGTAAGCTTCTCACAATCTTGCTTCTACACAGCCAATGGTGGCTTCACATGGCCCTTATGGTTAGCAGCAAATCGGGGCCGTACAAGTATTTTATTGAGATTTAATTTAAAATTGATTGTCTCTATAATTTACCCACTTTTAACAGAGAAGCTGTCACGATGCACAGATATAATATACACAAATTTCAATTACCATGGTTTAATTAAATAACCCCAGAAGTCACCAAAATGGCTCAAATTCTATTTGCCGTGGTACAAAGTTTTCTTTTACCTTGTTAGTTCAGAGCATTACCTAACTAGAGAGAGGCATCAAAATGCTAGGTACTTAGGTACTTAGAACAGAGAATAGGGACTAACCACAGATCAGCCACAAAGAATACAAGAAATTACCTGACCTGTCAGGAGAGCGTAGTAAAAAGAAAGCTAGCATAGGGGACGTTCACCAAATCAGACATCCACAGAGAACAGGACTGATCTGATGTGAACAGGAAACTAATCCTAAAACCACTATGATAAATCAGCAGTACGGTCAGCTTCTAAGTACAATGAAAAGAGATGGATGTGGTAGGAAAAAGTACATCACACCCAGGGAGAAATAACCAATTAAGGGCCTAAAGTATGACAGGCAGGCGCAGACATCAGGAGACAATCATCAGGAGACCCATAGGAGAACAGCATAAAAGTGACAGCAAGAATTCACTCAGGGCTGCCCTCATTCATGCAGTGGAAGGCAGTTTTAATCTCTGTGAGAATGTCTATGCTATGCTTCATTAACTCTCTGCTTACTTAGGCCACTGTCTCTCTGGCTCCTTTCATGTGCATATTGTGCCTGTTGTTGTTATTAAGTGCCAACAAATCGGTTCCAATCCTTATCAACAAATTCTCTGGTGAATGCGGGCCAGACTTGGCTTGTCCACCTTGTGAGCAACTTTGGCAGCTCTGGGAGGCTTCGCAGAGCAGATTCATGCAAGCAATGGAAAAGGTGCAATTTCTTCTTTTTCCTATGCTCCCCTGGTGACTAGAAATGTAGCCAGCTCCCCCATCATCCACCTCCAGCAAACCCTGCTCTCTGGAACTTTGGAGCCACGTGGTTCAGAGCCATGCCAGTGTGAGTTGGGGGCCGGCTGCCCCACTTTGGTATCTGGATTCAGGTGGGTTCGGCTCCTGACCTAGAAATCCAGACCAGTATTTAACCAGTCACACTGCCCCCAGCTTCCCTGTGGTCCTCACAGACAATGAAACCAGCTCCTTCAAGAGCACCCACAAACGACTTCCAGACTGAGTGCCTTGAATATAAATAATATAAACAAAAATGCTTACCACTGGACCAATAAATAGCATCATGATAAATGGGGAAAACACTGAAGTTGTCAAAGACTTCTTTTGCTCGCATTCACAATCAACACAAGCAGCCAAGAAACCAAATGATGTATTTCATCAGGTAAATCTGCTCCACAAGACCTCTATAATGTTCAAGAGCAAAGATATCTGTTTGAGGACTGAGGCACACCTGACCCAAGCCATGTTATTTTCAATAGCGTCATATGAATATGAAAGTTGGATAATTTATAAGAAAGACCAGAGAAGAATTGATGGATTTGAGTTGTGGTATCGGAGGAGACTACTGAAGGTGCCACTGACCACCAGAAGAACAAGCAAGTCTGTGTTAGAAGTATAGTCGGGGTGTGCCTTTGAAGCCAGGACAGTGACAGTTTATCTCTTACATGTTGGATATGTTATTAGGAGGGACCAGTCACTGAAGGAGGACATCATGCTTGATATAGCAAAGGGTCAGTGAAAAGGGGGAAGATCTCCAATGAGATGGACTGGCCCAGAGTCAGCTCCATGGGCTCAAGTGTGGGCAATAATTGTGAGGCTGACGCAGGTGTAGGCAGTGTTTCAGTTTGTTGTACATAAAGTCGTTGTGAGTCTGAGCTGACTTGAGAAGGCATCTAGCAGCAATTACAACAAATACACATGGACCTCACCAGATGGAATACACAAGCATCAAACTGACTACATCTGTCGGAAGAGACAATGGAGAAGTTCGTATCATCAGCCAAAAATCAACGCCAGAGGCTGACTGGAACAAACCATTCATTGCTTTCAGGCAAGTTCAGGCTAAAGCTGAAGGAAATTAAAGCAAATCCATGAGAGCCAAACTATGACCTTGAATATATCCCACCTGAATTTAGAGATCTTCTCAAGTGGATGATCAGCAATAAAGTGGAAGTGGAAAAGTGGAGGGTCAGCAAAAAAGAGACACCCCACAACAAGATGGCTGATACAAAGGCAGCAACAATGGGCTCAAACGTAACAATCGTGCGGCAGGCGCAGGACCGAGCAGTGATTCTGTTGTGTGAGTCAGAGGGAACTGGATAGCACCCAGCTACAAGCAAAACTTAAGGATCCCTGGTTACATTGTGGGTAAATATTTGAAATATTTTAAATTATTTGCGTTGAGTTGCTGATAAGTTGGCAGTTCAAACCCACCAGTCCCTCTACGGGAGAAAGACAAGGCCATCTGTTCTAGCAAAATGTACAGATTCAAAAACCCTACAGAGCAGTACTGTAGAGGTTATCTATGAATCCTGTTGTGACACTGTAGGATAAATGCACTGGACCACAAGGTCGATCTGAATGAAACTCAAGGTGGGCAGTTCAAACCCACCTTGAAACCCTATACAGGGTTGCTATGAGTCGGAACGAACTCGAAGGCACTTAACAACCATGAACCTGAATCAACTCGACGGCAGTGGGGTTGGTTGGTTGTGGGAAGTAACACTGAATTTGCCCAGGAATTGCTAAATCAAATTAAACAAGTTCTTTACACACGGAATGCTGTTGATTGCCTTTGAAAACCTGTCTCAACTCCTAAAATATCATGATAAGAACTTAGCAAACAAATATCCTCAAATGGTACTCATATTATTTTGGGGTTGAGAAAATGTAATTTTTGTTACTTTACAGCATATACAAAAATGAACTCAAAACTGATCAAAGACCTCAACGTAAGAGATAAAACTATAGAACTCTTTAAAGAAAACACAGGGGTAAATCTTCACTACCTGGGGTTTGGCAATAATTTCTAAGCTTTGACACCAAAAGCATCAAAATTAAAAATATTTACGCTTTGAAGGACACCATCAAGAAAGTTAAAAGACAACCCGCAGAATGTGAAAAAATATTTGTAAATCGTGTATCTGACAATGGACTATATCTAGAACGTATAAAGAACTCTAAGAGATCAGCAGGTATTTCAAAATGTGGATCACCCCCCTCCATTTCCAAGGGTGAAAAAGTCACCTCCAGCCCCCAGTAGCATTGGGGGTTAGGCACTGCTGCTAACCACAAAGTCCAAAGTTCAAACCTTCTCCGAGATAAGAACCAGCGGCTTCATAGGAGAAAGATGAGGCTGTCTGCTCCCTTAAAGATTTACAGTCTCTGAAACCCTTTAGAGAACTCAATGGTAGTGAGTTATAGGTTTCAGAGTCCTATCTCTCCCACCTTGGTAATGCAGAGTTCTCATACAGATGGGCCAAGAAGATGAACCTAAGTCCAAAGCTGGTAGAACAGACTTTCCATGACCAAAAGCCAGAAAAACAACAACAACGGGGTCTTTGCTCAAAGCTGAGGGGCCAGAGCTATCATCCCCAAGGGCCAGGAAAATGGAGCCTACCAGGACCAATGGAAAGTCCATCTAGGGCCAGAAACTATGTTGTCACATCTCTTCCACAGATACCCTCGTAAGCTCCCTGAATTGCAGGAGCTCCCCAGAGATTTCTCCCTTCCAGGTCCAGTAATTGCAACTGCTTGTCTTTACAAACACAACTTCACAATGCCCCCGAAACTATCGGCAATTTTTGCTCAAAGAAACAAGAGCGAATGGCTCAAATGACCAAGACACAGACACAGAAAATGTTTCCGAAGAAGAAAAGGTAATGGAACTAATAAAGGAATTCCAAACGAGAAAGGTGGAGGAAAACAAGGCGAACACACAATAGCAAACAGACAGCCTAAGTGCCCACCAATGGAAGAATGGATAAATACACTTCAGTACATACACGTAATGGAATACTATGCAATACTGAAGAAGGATGAATCTGTGAGAAACACCTCCTAACTTGGGGAACCTGAAGGACATTCGGCTGAGTGAAATTAGTCTATGACAAAATGACAAACATTGTATGAGATCTTACTGTAAAACCTTAAGAAAACGTTTCCATACTAAAAGATATAGTCTTTGTTGATTACCATGGGTGGGAGGGAGGGGAGAGTAATTCACTGCCTAGAGGGTACACACAAGAAGATAGGGCAATTTACAAGAAGGAGGAGGGTGGCAGAAAAATAATAAAGGTAAGCGAAGACACAGGGAAGCATGCATGAGCTTAAAGGGGACAGATGTAAATAGTGATATACACACATCCTTGGAACAACAGTGTTCTGTGTGTGGATACATGAATGACATAGGCTGAATGGATAAGGGAGGGATCCCTATATAGCCCACTCTTATATTACTTATAAGCATTTTATTATATTATTTATATATCCCACAAATATGTACGAGCTGGAAAGAAGATATTTTTGTACCTGAGCATTTACCTTTCCTGCAAACACAACTATAAATGCGGTGGAGCACACAGTGGACAAAATGATGAAAAATTCCTAGATATTATTCAACATCCTAAGGCACGGAGTTTATGGGCCTGGGGGCTCAGGACCATAGTCTAAGGGACAACATACTCAGTTGGCATGACAAAGTGCACACACACAATGTTCTGTATCTTAGCTGGATGAGTAGCATCAGGGATCCTGAAAATTCCAGAGCAGCAACCTAAGGTTTCTGAAGAGCAGCTGGTGAGCGTGGAGCTTGGACCACCAACC